GAGGAGAGAATAGTCCATTTCTAACTTTCTTCAGTGCTTTACAGTAAGTCCTTTATACGGTGCAACTATGATAGATGTAGGAGAGAGGAAGAAATCAAAGCGTGCAGCTAACATCAAACATTTAACCTATAAAATGGCTTCAGTATATCATCGCAAACAAACTGGAGGTCATCAGACGGGCACAAAGTGTACATTAATGCTCCTAGTGTTTTTCGGCCAGATTGAAAATTGCTCCTTTGACCCAACATTGAGCTATGCTGAGCTGCTCTTGTGTTGAGTACCCGGCAATGGCTGGTGCTGGCGAGTTACATGGCGTCATTTCAGCTCGCGCTTTTCATGAGCCACCTGTACAAACACTTGCACCGAGCATTAGACATTGATGTACAGCATAAGATTTATTATCCAGATGCTGCACTTTGCCTTCAATTCTTACTTAGTAAAAGTTACTTTTCAAATTTTGCCCCAGGTTTACATTTGTACCGTGTTTATAAATCATCGACCATTTTAGCAAAGTTCCAACTGTGCATGTTATAAGATAATAGGTATACATAGGGGTTTCAAGGGTATAATCATATCTTGAAGTTCAGAGGAGAGTTATAAACTGCTCAAGTTCAGCCATGTGTACCTCTCAGTGAGATAATTGATTACCAAGAAGTGTCATAGGCAGCGAATATTATTAAAATGCAGTGTCCATTTTAGAATATAGCTAATTTCCCTGTGGGATCTGTGTTTGGATTCTGGCCAGGCAGAGGGGCTGCAGGTTGCTCTGAACTCTGATTACTGTCCCGAGATGAGGTTCTGTATGTTTATTCAATGAACCTGAGGCCACATCACAAATCTTGGGTCAGAGCAGGTTTCTCAGGCCACCACACCCCACTCCTGGGCTGTGACATTGGCAGATGGTATCTACCGATTGAGGGCTAAAGAGAAAATAAAATGTCTCTAAGATTCAAGGTGCAGTGGGCGATACAAGTGAATACACTATTTTGTTCCCCATATCCTAACAGTTTTGTGCATTCAGCTTGTTTCATGGGCTGTGGTCATTACTTTGCTTTAACCATTCAATGTGAGGTGCATAACAACAGAGTTGTTAGGAAATGGAATACGCTGCCAGGAGTGCTGGTTGAGGCAGAATCCATATTAGCCTTCAAAAGGGAACTAGATAGATATCTGGAAAGGAATAAATTACAGAGGTATGGGGAAAAGGCAGGTAAATGGGACTGAATGGATTGCTCCTTAAAAGATCCAGCACAGACAAGTTGGGCTGAATGGTCTTCTTCTGTTCTGTAAATTTTTGTGTTTTTTATGGCATACAAGTGACCCAATATGATTAAGTTTTCACGTCGAGCATCTTAGGTGCTTAAGTCTACACCTCTCCATGACCTATTCCCCTCACCCCTTCCCTTTCCTCAATAAACCCCCGGTTGAAAGGGGAATGGGCTGTGAGGAAAATTGAGTCCACAAATCCACCACCAATATAGGTGAATTCTCTTACAAATTGTAACGTATTAAACCCCAGTCATCGTGTACCGTTCGGCTCTGTTACTTTTGAAAGTTGAAGCTCCTGTTTTGTGTGTGCACAAACTTGTCATCTCGACAATTTGAAAAACACTTACATAGATTCTAAGCAAACTTTCTCAGTGACTTCCTCTCATCAATCACCAGTTTCCTCCTGTAAGAGAGCACATTGGGACTTGTCTGCGTAGCATTTCTGGAAATGAGGTAGGGATTTTAGTCAAAGGGCATGAATGCTTCAGCGATTTTTTAAATAAAAAATGCCTCTGGCTGTGTTGTTTGGGTTAAAAGCCCGGGAGAGAATTAGTGGAGCGTTTTATAGCTTACCGATAGGGATCTGAAGCCAGGAGACTTCTACTTAAGCACGCAGGTTAACCATGTGTCAAATGGAGTACAAACCAAAGAAAAGCAAAGTAGAACAAAACAACGATTGTTTCATTATTTATTTATTGCAAAGAGATTTTTTTAAACTATTCAAACTGAACAGAAGCAAGGTGCATGGGGAAAACACTCATGTGATGTAACAGCTTCCACGAGGTATGGAGATTTTATTATGAATAAACTGATAAACTGGTGACTCACACCATTGTAAAGATGCCATCTCCCACCTTGGGATATCCCTTCCTCTGATTTGGAAATAATGCTTTAGAGATCCCACGAGCAAAGCTACTCATTGAAAGACACATTGGGTCTATTTTACTCCCTTTGTAATTCACGGCATGGCTGTTTTTGGCACATTTCTGTGTGCAAATTTGCCTACAGAATACACCGACACTTCACTTTACAGTAACATTCTGTGAAGCTTTGTAATGTCCTGACATGAAGGACGTTGTATCAAATATAAGGATTTTGTCATTTAAAAAGGCATCATAAGGGTTAAAGTTGTGTACATGGTGCAACATGTGGCAACAAATATTAACAACAGAAAGTAGAGCTGATTTTAATTTGGTTTTAGGGTAAGAATAGTAGGTACAGTATGCAGTTTGGCAACACAGCGATGTCTGTGCTGTTGCCTGGCAAGTCAGGATTAAGGTTGGTGAATGGTTCTGTAGAGCAGTCGCAATGAGATTTATTGAGGTAAGCCCTATTGGAAAGCTTTCAGTCGTTGTGCAAAGTGACAGGAGAAATGTTGCATCTTTTCCATGAACCTTTATATTTCATGTGCACCTGCGATTAACTGGCAAAAATCTCAGGCAAAGATGAAAATGTATAACGTAGACATTCAAGAACATTTGTTATGTACATTCATGAGAGGCATCTGTAAGTTACAGAGAAGCCCTTTGTGTGAAAGAGTAACAGATTTTCACTATCTCAGTAAAGAAGTTGAAAAGACCATTTACAACGGATCCCTGTTATAACACACTTCATTATAACGCAGGTTCACTTACACTGCTGGTGACTGTAGCCAACTTCCTGCTCACTCGCTGACTTCCCACACATTAAAAGTTGGTCTTTTGGCTCAGCGAATTGAATGTGATGATATGAGATATTCCCTTCCTGGAGATTTTCCTTTCAATAAATGGCCTTGGGTGAACATCCTGTACTCCCCCAGCCTCACCACCCCCACCACCGAATCATCATGCAAATGTTTTGTTCCAAAGTCATCTGTGGCACCAATATGCCTGCCTCTCCTTGGGTGATCCTTTTCATGGATGGTTCACGGGATGTTGACTTAATTCAACTAAAAGTTGAATTCATCTAAATTTATGATTAAATTAAAACAAATGCTCACCTCAAGGGAAAGCGGGGGCCATAGAAATTTACAGCATTGTGTCTTTCTGTGGCTCTTTTAAAGAGCAATCCTTTCAATCTCATTACTGGACGTTTCCTAAAGCCCCTTGAATAGGCTGCATCCAGAACAAGCTCTCCCAGCTTCAGCACAGTGGTTGTACACTAAAGTGGTGTAAAGTCAAATCCACTTCCCCACAGCGCTCGGTGACATTAATATCTTGTTGCTCAGCCCCTTTTTTGATGTAAACATTACAATTGTATACCCTGGTTGCCACTGCTCAGTTGGTGATGTTCTTTGTGATATAACTGGATGAATTGCATGATGTCAAATGGAAACAGAATACACTTTACAGTAAATCCCATGAAACACTTTGAGATGGTTCGAGAACATGAACAGTTACTGTATCAACTGTCACATTTATTGTTAATATTGTTAGTGTTTGAAGTGGTCTTTTTATCAGACTAGTGCACACTGCAAACTATTCTATAAGCAACACCCATTGATTCTTGGCTTTGACAAAGGACGTGTCTTGAGATATCTTGACGTACAGAGAGATCAGTCCCAATCGGTCGGGGTCCTCTTGGAACGTGCTGTGTAGTGCAATTTCCTTAAATGCTAAGTAAATTGCTGCTTTCTGCACCAAGGGATCAATATGAAATGTTCATGTAAGTCTTTTTTAATGGGGACTTAAGAGAATAAAGATATTTATTCTTGGATCAGAAAATGATTAATCTGCTTCATATGAGATTTAGTGTCATTGATTTGGCTTTAATAAATACTAATGACTCATACTCGACAAGCCCTAAAGCAGCACTTTATTCGTCTATAAACTCCTAAAGCTGGAGATTAGCAATGACTGTAAATGTAAGGGAGTGGACGCAACAGCGAAAATAGCTCTGAAACAACACAACAAATGGCTTAAGCCTCTGTGAGCTACTCTCATCAGGGAGTTTTCCTGTCTTTCCATTTGCATTTTAAACATTTTTAAAAAGCTATGGATAGGGCGTAACCCAGAGACTTTGTGCTCTCTTTCTTGTGGTGACTTGCTCCAAAATGGTTGACTAACTGTAGTTGGGAAGCAAAATTAATTAATAATAATAAATTGGTTTTCATGCAACAAATTGGTTCATATTCAATAAATCAGGAGAGAAGCTTTTGCTTAGATTTCACAGCTACCTGTGCACAATCCTGCCAAACATTGAGTCCTCTGCATAATATTTACAGTGGACAATATATTTGAGAACTTGCTTTGCTTGGGTGCTCAGCCTGGAAATAGATTTTCTCACCTTTCCAATAACTAATGTGTACTTATCTGATTTTTAAGCATGAACGATGAACAATTATTTTAATGTACTATGGGTTTTGCCAGTAGCTACATGACTAGTGTACCATTTAGAACTACAATAAAGGGCGCAATGTAAAACATGCCAGCAAGCTAATACGGCACCTTCAATTTGTGAAGGCTTCACATTAATCAGACAGGTATGTCAGAAAGTAAACGCAAATCCCACAGCTTTATTTTGCACAACACAGGAATATTTGGACATTTATCAGAAGCTCAACCTATGTGTTATGTACAGACATGGTGCACTGTGGCTCAGGTGTCGAGCCCTTATTGAACATGTTCCACAGCAACAGAAAACAGAAACTTGTCATGTTCAGAATTCCAAGTGACTTGTAGTTAATTTCTTGTGATCTACAAATGGAGTTGCTGTTCTCCGGTGATTTTCTTCTTTTTTCTCTCCCTCGTAAGCTGAAAGAGCTCGTGAGCCTGGACCTGCGCCACATAACAGAGTTGAACAATGAGACCGTGATGGAGGTGGTGAAGAAATGCAAGCATTTAAGCTCGTTGAATCTATGCCTCAACTGGAGTATTAATGACAGGTATGATGGTGCTTTCTGACTACACACATGAGAGTGAAACAACCTCTGTAACCTCCCTGTTATTTTTCCACGTCCCTTCCTCTCCCATATAACCATACATCAAGGGTGTTCCTTACACATGAGATGAATATTTCTCATGATATCGCGTGACATAAGACCCTTTAAAAAGGTGCTTTGAGAAAGTAATACAAAGGCAATTGTCTGATGCTTTAAGAAAAAGCCATTGGCTTAATTTTTAATTGAAGCTTGTGTAGGAGGAAAGGTGGGGATTGTGGGGTATAGTTGGGGGAGGTTGGTTGGCTGAATGTTTGCAGAACTACTTTATTTGTTTGGGGAAACAGTATCAGCTCTGATTCAGAACCTGCTTGGGATTCTGCTGAAGTCCTACATGGAGAAGTCCTGCACCTTTCTTTGCTAGCCAAGTCAGGGCTGGAGATTTGAAATTGTCTTTGGTGGTTGCTCCATGAATACTTCAAGCAGAAGTTTGTTTTAACCATGCCAAAATATGCATTAAGATGATTTGCCAGAAGTCTAGTCATTAACTTGAATAAAGTTTAACCAGATTATGAATACTGTAATTGTGCCAAGCATCAATAGCATGTCGTAACAAACAGAAACAAACAGCTGTTTAAAACCTTCAAAAATATATGTTTGACGGTGAGTACACGGCCATTAGATATTGAAGATCATGTTAACTAAAGCTACAATTAAACATTATTCTTGATTAAATGCTATCTTACCTGTTACAGTTACCTTAGGGACTAACACAGGCCCACACAGACGCGCACACATGTACATACACACCACACAAAGGTAGATGGTTTGGCTACAGAGGGCATGTTGATGGGTACTGTTGATCTTTTCCTCCTGTCGATCTGGAATTTGACAAAAGAACCCCTGCAGATTAATGTGTAATGTTCGTTGTTTTAACTGTCTTATATTGGTATGTAAAAGGGAGAGAGCTGCTGTGAACCCAACAAAATAGAAATGCAGTGCGGACTTGATGGGCCTCGTGACCCACTCCGGTTTCTGCGTTCCTATCTTAAAAGGAAATTCTTTAAGGTACTATTGCGAGGGAAAATGGGAACAACCACATTTTGTGATGCTTTGGGGCCTTTTGTGCTCTGCGGCTAAACCTATAGAATTTATTGGAGAACCTTTACCCACAAGAAACAGGAGAACCTAGAATTGTTTGGAAGGTTTTATACCACAGCCGTAGGACACAGGAGAGTTGCCTTCATTTCATCTTTGCCAGAACTCACAGCCCGTCGGTGGGTGACCCATTGCATGCTCGTGCAACTGAATACAGTGAAGTGGACTTCCCCCAAACCCAGCAAACCAGGATTGCTGGTTTCGGGGTGGTGGGGGTGGCGGGGAGGGAAGCGTGGTCTGCTGAGCTAGTCTGGGTCTGAGGGGAGAAAGGAGTAGAAAATCCCTTGGGGAGAAGAATGAGAGGAAAGAAAATCAGAAGATAAATATTGATGAAAGAATAAAATGAAACACACCCCTGCCGCTCCCCACCCCAAAAAAAGTAAAGTTTAGAAGATGTGTCTTGGTATTTTTATCATCGTCGGGATCTCATATCCTACCAGATCGTTAGTGAGGGATCTTGTGTATAACTCTGCATTTTCCTCAACCAGCAAACCAATATAATTCCTGTCACATCACAGCTTCTTTGCTGTGAAGGTGTCTATTTAACACAGTTGGGGGGAGGAATATTTTTGCATCGGGTAATTTGTTTGCTAACGTGAACTGCATAGGTAATGCTGACACAGGCTGGGAGGGCATGTTGATGTGCCCTTAACAGTGCATAAATAAACCACAAACGCTGAAAGATGTTTATTTTATATGAAAGGCACTTTATGAATACAAGTTATCATTATTATTACACAGTGGAATAGGAAGCCATAAAAAGCAGTAAGGCTTTTTTTAAATCTCCAGCTTGATCAGAGTTATATCTCGCCTGACAGTGCAAGAGGAACATTGCATTGTCAGAGGTGTCATCCTTGGGATGAGATGTTAAATTGAGGTCACGTCTGCCTGTTCAGGCGGACATTAAAGATCCCACGGTACTATTCAGACAGAAAAGGAAGTTTCTCCCTGTGTCCTGGTTATTAATCCCCCAAATAAAATTGGTCACTCACTCCATGCATCCTAGTGGGTCATTGCTGTGTGCAAATTGGCTGCCGCGTTCGCCCACACAGTCACAGCATTTTACACTATATTCTGTGAAGTGCTTTGAGGTGTCTTGACAATGTAATAAGGCGCTATATTAAATGTAGGGATTATTACTACCATTGTGGTCGAGTAATCTGCATGCTCGCACTATTTGGCTCACACGTGAGAAATGTACCAGAGGGGTTAGAAGTACCCATGGAGCTGTACGCTTGTGTGAGAGATTGCCTTCAGCCAAGGATCAGTAAAGGGATAACAATTGGAAACAAGGAAGCTCCCTGCAGAATGTGCCCCAGTGCCACGACTGCTGACTATTTCCTCTATAATAATTGTACTGAAGGCAGCATTACAGTAATGCATCCAAAATTCACAATCACCAACAGATTAAATTTGTTCAGGTGCCTTGGGTGGCATGAGTCATTTTTTTCCAGATGATAGTATATTGTGACCTTGTAATTTATCATTCACGGCTCTATCCCTTGCAGAGACCGTACTGCTGAGAAAAATAATAGTCAAGAGGGCAAAAGGGTGAAAGGAATCCTTTGCTCCCCATCTCCTTTCTTTTTTCTTCAACGCTTAAATCTGAGTTTTATTATTATTGGAGGCATCTTCTGACAGCAATTGAAGGTTTTTTTCTCCCTGCTCATCCGGTTCTGATAGATGTAAAATTTTCCCACTTTAACAGCCACATGAGGGTGAATGAAAACACTGTAATGTCTGCTTGCCTCCCAGAGTGCTGTAAATTTCCAAACTCTTTCATTAGACGGTCCTGTTTCCCAGCAGCAAGTTTCAAGGAGCAGAGCGTGGTTCTATTGGGAGGTAATCGGCTTTACATTTTGAATGTCACATCGCAGAGGAGTTTAGAAGGTGTGACGGGAGAATAACGGTTTGAGTAATTTCATTTAGGAATTAAATTGAAGAGATTATCTTTGACAATAAAGGTATAAACTGCTTCTTTTCTCCCCCCCTACCCCTTTCTCGCAACAACTGCTTTATACAGATCTGAAGTTTCTGATCTACACGGGCCTCTTTAAACCATTCATTATTCTTTTAGATTACCACACTAACCTTTGTAAATATTATCCATATGTCCCATTGAGTACATAGAAATGCACTATTAACTGCAGGCATCTGTTTCAGGCTTGTGATGTGGTTTTTGTCATTGCATTGTAGCTACAGCAAGATGTTGCCGGTTTTGTACCAAACGGGGATTAGTTTTGACACTTTCTGATATTATTCACCATGGGCTGTTTGGAATTATCTGGATTTCAAAAGCCCCAGTTGAAAAGAATTACCAACACACAAATAACATGGGCTTCCCCAGAGCGTCTGTTGTTCATGCAAAATGCATTACGGCGCTTCCATTTCATTTGTGCCCACTTCCCATTTAAAGTGAATTAAACTATATTGCTGTTGAGTTAACTTCACTAAGGAGCTCAACGAAAATTGTGCAGTAATTCAGTATGACACTAATTCAACATTTTTTGATGTTTTAGGAGCAACCAATTATTGTTTTCCCCCCTTCAAACTAATGACTTTTTTATGATTTAGTTTATATCATAAGTTAATGTACAAGAGGAGCGTCAATTACAATACATGCATTTATTTCAGCGTAAGGCAGAATGGGGTGCCTCAGGGCGATCAGGGAGTATATTACTGTACCGGTGCAGATTCTGAATATTCGAACAGTGTTAAATATTGTTTTGAAGCAATTGTTTTTAATCTGAAGTTGTGTCATGTCTTGGTAGGAATATGTAAAGCTGATCATGTGGTGTTCATTTAATGATCTGATCATGCAATACCAAGTAATGGGTATCGATTGGTGAACATTTTATCAAACCTTTGCAGCCTGGATTCCTAGAACAGTGTTGCAAGCTTATAGAGGATTTAATTCTGCAGGGCCTCTTATTAAGTTGTGCCCTTCTAATCTGCCCAATGATGTTGTTTTGTTTACTTTAGATTTATGTGGGAAAAGTAGTGTCAGTTTTGCAGAGGAGAGAAATCGGAAGGTTTCTTCAATTCAGTCTTACTTGAATTCAGTACTTTGAAGAATCGGGTTCCAAATGAAGACTGAATTGAGGAAATTTCCAAAAATCTTCACAGTCTGCTAAAAATACACATCAGTTAACGAGTCTAAAGATTGCACATTCTAGTGGCTTATTTGTATTCCTCAGTAATTTATAAATTCATGTACAGACGAGTATGGATTACAATAAATACATTGGCTTCAGAATAAGACAATGGGGGCTTAGTGTGATCAGGGAGTACCTGGTCAAGTAATATATAATTGGTGGCCATGTCATGGGTTTTGTTAATATAGTAAAACTCGTATAAGTCTTATCTTTATAAATCGTATAAACGCCTAAGTCGTACATTCATAGTATCATGGAATTATACAGCACAGAAGGAGGCCATTCGGCCCATTGTATCTGTGCCGGCTCTTTGAAAAGAGCCGTCCAATCAATCCCACTCCTCTGCTCTCTCCCCATATCCCTGCAAACGTGTCTTCTCCAAATAACTGTCTACTTCTCCCTTAAAAGTTGTTATCGAATCGGCATCCACCACCCTTTCAGGCAATGCATTCCAGATCCGAACAACTCGCTGTGTGAAAAAATTTCTCCTCACCTCCCCTCTGTTTCTTTTTGTTTTCTTTTCTTTTCATTCACCTGAGTCCCATTCAGTTTCCTATCAAAACCACTTAGATTTCTTTACACTAGTCATATTTATCACCTCCTAACTTGTAACGCCGCTCCCCTACCCTCCACTACTCACGCACTTACCAGAGGCATTGAATCACGGTTGTGTGAACCGAGGCTGGATAGAGA